GTTCAGAGGGACATAAAGGACAGTTTTTGCTCCTTGCCTTCCTAGGTCGACCTGTTCCAGGGGACTATGAGCATCTCTCAAAATGTCGTGTAATTGTGGTGGGTCACCTGTCTTCTTGATCAAGGAGGCCGAGGAGACTGCACAAGATGGACTTGAACCAGTGTCCAGTCTATAAAGAGGAGGGTCAACACAGAGGAATAATTTCCTCCATGCTTCCAAGCAAAGACAACAATGGTCTAGCAGGACCTTTAATTTATCTTAACATAGGCAGAACTGGTAAAAGAAAGGAGTAGGGGTTCCTCTCACACCAGTGTGACCCCTGAGGAACCGATCCTCAAATGACCTTAAGAGTAAAAATAAATTGGTTTATCTGGGCCAACTGTATGGTCTTAAACACCCAAAAGGAAAGTATAACCAAAGATTAAAGGGTCAATATAATTTCTTAAGAGTCCATATGCATAGCTAATGGCTACATAACAAGCAACAATGCCAGACAGGAGGCACCTTCTTTTGAGTTGTTGGCCAGGGTGGCCAAAGGGACTCCCAGATAGTAACCCAGCATAGAACTGGGAAAATGAACAGCAGAACCCAATCTTATCCAAAGGAATAATGACAACTGATTGCTGCTAGATGAGGAAGAGCTGACCCTCCTAAAACAAAGACCTCTAGATAGGCTGACTAGATTCACCAGAAGCGAAAGTAGTGGGGAATGGCTGGAGGTGCCAACAACACAGCAGACCATAGCAGGGATATCAGAATATAAGGGACTCTAGTGGGTGGAGGGAGGCTATGAGAGGGTGCCATCTGGGAAGTGGGTGTATAGTTGAATAAGATGGTTTGCGATGTTCAGTGTGATATATATGCACACACACACACAAAAATCAACAAATTAAAAAAATATATTATATTTGAGGAGGAAGCATGGAAATTTATGTCATGCTAATTAGTAGAGGTGATAAACGTTACCATTGAAATCTACCCGGTGACTTTATAGACATACACAGTCTCTCTCTCTCTCTCTCTCTCTCTCTCTCTCTCTCGTTGTCTTTGAACTTACTATGTAGCCCAGGCTGACCTTGAACTCACAGAGATCCCCCTGCCTCTGCCTCCCGAGTGCTGGGATTAAAGGCGTGAGCCAACACACCCTGCCCAAAATAGAGATCTTTTTTAAAGGTTAAAAACTCAATTTTATGTCTTACAGGGCTTATACTGAGTTCAATATTGTATAACTGTATTAATTCACCTGTGAACCTAGAAATTTACACTCTCTTGTGAAAGAGATGTACTCTTGCTCTGGAGTGTGTTACTGAATATGTTAAAGCAGTAGTGAAATTCTTCTTTTAATCATGTAGTTATTTAAAAAATGATTAAAAAATAATATTTCTCCAAAACATAAAAATCTCCTTAAAATAAAAGAAAAATGGTAGCAGATCTTTTGTCAAGTTCCATAAGTTAATCCTGAATGAAATAGTGATGTATCTATTAGAAGAGTAACCAATGACTTCCTGATTGGATCTGAGGCCTGCTCCAGAGGAGGGACTTCATAGCTGGTACTATAAACCTGGTTAAAACCCCATGACCGGGAGGTCAAAGACCCCAGTGAAGAACCTTGTCAGCACTGTTTTGCTAAATACTCTTAACAAACCGCCTTCTAAATCTATATTAGCACAGCATTCAACCTCAGTCGGAGAAGCTTCTTTTGGCAGTGGACAGAGGTTAACGCTATTAAAAAAAATTGTTATTGAGTATGTCAATGCTGTTGTAGTGAAATGCTTCTTCTAAGTATGTGGTTATTGAATAAATAATTTTAAAAAATAATATTAAATGAAGTATTTTTAAAATAAAAAAAAATAAAAACTGGGGTTTCGAACTTAGCCTGGGTAAGTCCCTCTGCTTGTTGGGAGACCAATCAATCCTTTGCTACTCTAACATTTCCCCCTCTAAAGAGGTATACCTAAAATCTTTTAAGGGTTAGATACAATCTCACAAATAGTTTTGACATTTTTTGCCTTTGGAACAGAGTATTTTGCTAAGAGGCCCAAGGACATTTTGACTTTTAGCCAAGAAACTGGCTACTTTTCTTTGGGGTCTTTTTATCCTAACTGCCTAGGCAGTTCCTACCTCCTATTCTTATCACACCATCCTCTGAAGTCATTACCCAAATTGCCAATAGGGAATCAGGACGCAGACTGCTCTGGCTTCTTCCATATTGAACAGGAACATAGGATGAGGCAACTGGAGTACCCCTTTACTGGGTCTATCTAAAAGACTCCCAAATTGTATAACTTTTGTCTGTAGGGAGAAAAGAAAGTCCTTGACTGGTGAACAGGATATGTGTAGGAGAAGTAAAGGCAAGAATAATTAGCTTTACAAGTTCTAGACAGGGAACTAGAAAAAAGTCAGAACGGGGCAATTTTCAAATGTTCGTATGAGACTCCATCGGAGTTTCATTGACAAGGGCTTCCAAAAACATCCCTCTATTGGGTTCTTCAAGGCTGGACTCGAGAGTGATGGATTCAGGATTTGCTTTCAGAAATTTTGGTAGCTGTTGGAGTGGTTAGAATCAGTGTCAGTTCCCCCTCAAAGGCTTCTCGATAGGGGGAGAAAAAAATTATCCATTATTTTAGAACAATAGCAGGTTGTCTCCCTTAGCTACAGGTGGGCACTACCGTATTGGAGACAAAAATTTGAAGTCTTACATCTGAGTAGCACTTTATGGTTAGGAACAAAATCATCAATGAGAAATAATTGTCTAAATAATTTTTTATATAGAATTAAGCCTAATGTCTGGGAAGTGTAATCCCTTGAACTCTTAAAGAAGTATACTGATGACTTTACTCTTTGGGTATACTTTCCTTTTGGGTTTTAAGCCCATACAGTTAGTTGGTCCAAATAAATCAATTTATTTTTACACTTAAGGTCGTTTGAGGATTTGTTCCTCAAGGGGTCACATGGGCTTGGGAGGATCTCCTGGCTCCTTTCTTTTACCAGTTCCGTCTATGTGAAGATAAGTCAAAGGTCCTGCTCAACCATGTCTGGTTTCACTAGGAAGCATGAATGTGATGTTTCCTCTGAGTTGACCCTCCTTTTTGTAGACTGGACACTGGTTCAAGACCACCTCATGGGGTGTTCCTGTCCCTCCCTGAACAAAAGGACAGGTGATTGACCAGAGTTACCAGACATTTTGAGAGATGTTCCATAGTCCCTTGGAAATTAGTCGACCTTGGAAGGCAAGGGGCAAAAGTCCTTTAAGTCCCTCTGACCACATTAGTATAGGCTTCAAAGTATGGCTGTTAAACATTTAATAAGTTTAGTTCCACCAGTCTGGTAATTTTAATTATCATGTGCTATGTCGATAAGGCTTGCATAAAAAATCCAAATATTCTCAGATAAACCTTGACTAGATATATATTTTGTTCCATAAACTAGTTGACTATACTATGACCACAGAAATTTTACCTCATCACTTGCTTAGGATTTCTCATTTTTTCTATTTTGGAAAATATCTCCATTTCCATATCCTTTTAACACCTTTTACATTCTCATTTTCTTTTTTAAAAATAATTGTGAAACATAATAGCATTATCAAGGTTTTAGAGTTTCTAACAATAACAATAACAAAAACAAAATGATTTTGACATGTCTCTTTTTCTTCTTTCTTCCCTAACCCCACTTTGAGTCCTTTATTAACTTTTAAAATGCCCATTAAATCCAATTTGTGTTCCCCAAACACTCTTGGCTATGGGTCCATTCCCTGGAACTTGTCAACCTACCCAGTATCATATTGTAGGAAAATGACAGGCTGTCTTTCCTCCAGCAACTATCAATTGCTATTCATTCCTCAGCTAGGGTTGGGTTTCTTGCCTACCTCTTTCCTTGAACTCAAGCTTATAAACAAATGTAACTTTAAACAGCAAGAGTTAAATCTGAACATACTGGCGAGAGTCTCTTGGATGCTATCACATAAAAGGTTTTGGAGTCAGGCTAGCATAGTTTACACGCCAGTGGGCCTATTTATAGGACTGACTCCTTTTTGCAATGTCAACAGTAACATTACACCTATTTTAAGCCTCAGTATCTCAGATATCAGCCCCTACTAGTTGCACAGTTCTCTCTTATTTGCTAACAGAAAGCCCAATGGAGCCTGCTGAAGTACCTGGTCAAATTAGCAAAGATAATTTTTTAGAAGTTCCTAATCTATCTGATTCTGTTTGTGAAGATGAAGACGTTAAAGGGACCTTCAAGCTTGACTTCTCTCCTCATCCAAGCAGGCGAGGATCTGAGTCTTCTGAAGACATGTACCTGGACACTCCAACTTCAAGCTCCCGGAAAGTTTCCTTTGCTGACAGCCTTGGATTCAGTCTTGTGTCCATTAAAGAATTTGACTGCTGGGATTTACCAAGTGTTTCAACTGATTTTGACTTGAGGAAGGATGTTTTCCACACAGAAGAATATGTTTTATCTCCTTCGTTTGACTTGCCTTCTTCAAAAGAAGATCTTATGAAACAACTTAAAGTTCAGAAAGCGATGCTGGAGTCAACTGAGTACCTTCCTGGGTCAACGTGCATGAAGGGCATTATTCGAGTTCTGAATATTTCTTTTGAGAAGTTAGTGTATGTGCGAATGTCCTTAGATGACTGGCATACCCATTATGACATTTTAGCAGAATATGTTCCTAATTCATGCGATGGTGAAACTGACCAGTTCTCTTTTAAGATTTCATTGGTTCCTCCTTATCAAAAAGATGGCAGTAAAGTTGAGTTTTGTATACGTTATGAAACCTCTGTTGGTACATTTTGGTCAAATAATAACGGCACAAATTATATATTGATTTGTCAAAAGAAAAAACAAGAGGCAGAGCCTGTAAAGCCATTGGAAGAAGCTTCTAGTAAACAAATAAAAGGCTGTTTAAAGGTAAAATCAAGGTGAGGACATATTTTACATACTTTATTATTCATAATCTTGAGAGATTTTTCAATGTCATTTCGTGTGTTACAAGAAGAAACAATTTAGTTTAAAAAGCTGCTGCTTATGCTATGAAAGCAATAGTGTCAGGTTTTGTTGGTTAGTGCTATTTAATAATAGCATGTAATATTCCAACTTTAAGGAAAAATGAGTGAAAAATTTTTGCGTAAAAAATGTGTAATAGGAATGTATGTTTTACTTGCTTGATAACTTACTTAATTTCAAGCCCTGAGATGTAGACCCTTCATTTTTGAAACTATTTTACATAAAGTATATTTATTTTCAGTTAGTTTTAAAAGCATATGCTTTCCTTTGAAACATATTTGGCTAACATAAAATAGTATTTCAAAATGTACATGGCGGTAAGAAATTTGTAGGCTTTTCACCAAAAGCAGCAACGAACATTTTAATCACTGAGTCAGTTTTGTAAAGATGTTTGGAGTAATGCATGTTAAGTTAAATCACAAGAGATATGGATTTAATGATGAACTAACTAGAGAATAATTGTGAGTGATGTATAAATTGAACATATAATTTTATAATTATAACAAATGTAACATTATGGAACATAAATTAGTATAATTTAGTAAAAGTAAATGGAGCAGAATGAAAAAACGACCCAGATAGAAAAAAGGATATTCAGCTATATAGATTAGAGATTTGGGATGAGACCCCTCATTAGTAACCTTTGTCTCCTGTTAATGTGTAAAAATAGAAGTAGCCTTCAGCTCCTTCTATACTGAAAAGTTGGCTAATTTCCATGACTCTAGGTTAGTAGATGCAACATTCAGGGGCACTCAGACCCCTTCGGCTCCTCACTGTACCCAAGGGAAAAGACCACACTGCTTCACCAGCCACAGGCAAAGGTATGGTTATTCTCTGAGTGATTTCTCCTATCTCAAAACAAATATTTTAGTAAGTACTCCAGAGAGAATATAATATGATGAAGAGGGGACTATGAGAGCAATGAAGACACTCAGGTTCTCAGTGCTAAGTACAATTCTTTTTAGATGACTTTGAGAAATGTTTAACCTTTTTATATTTTAATGAATAAGACAATAACATTTGCTAAATTAATCACTTCACTACACTGCTGAACTAATATAGTATAAGTTAAAAAAATTTAAACATAAATATTTCATGTTTGGAATACTTGAAACCAAATATTCCAAACTTAATACCCCAGTTTTGGTTTTCTGTTCAAGCCATTAGAACGATCAAGCTTAATATACTTTGTGAGCTATTCCAAATGTCTATTCAAATAAAACTTTCTCAGATTTCAATTCATGTTATTAAAGAGATAATACAAATATAACCTCTATACAAGGTAAAATAATAATTTAGATGTTTGTGATTTTATTCATAACATCTACACAGAAAAAGTGATTCAATGTGATACAAAATAATCTCTGTACAAAACTTACACACATGAAATACTTTATATATGAGATAATCAACAGTGAATATTAAATATATAGCCACCTCTTGACTATATTAGAGATAATAGATCTTAGAACGTAAAGTCTTTTGATCAAATAGTTCATAAAAGAATCAGTATTTAACCCAAACACTTTTTCTGAGTTAAATATGTACCTTCACAATGTCAAGCAATATATTCTGAACTGGAAGTTAGAAAGTGGTTTCCTTTGGTAGACCAAATTTGACTTGATACCAAGAACAAAGAATGGGAAGCTAATAGGTCAAAACTTGCACTCGCCCAATCAACATGCACATTTGTATTTAGAACAGGAATCGTTGGTTCCTAGCAGACACTGCTCAAGTTTTAATATTACTTTGGGGAGAAAAACCTGAGAAAAACTAAACCGCAAAATGGTCTAAAGGCCTGTAAAGTTTCCTAATGAGTTATGAAAATGGAAAAAAATCTCTTTCCTTCAAAACCACAGATACATTTTCTGCACTTCTGTAACTTAAAAATGACCAACATAATTCAAACCACATTTTTAAAAAAACATTTGCCTCTGGAGAAGGCTTTTTGTGCTGAGTTTCAGTCCAACATGAATTTTTACATCTGATTTATATACCACTCAAAATGGAGAGTATAAAGGAAATCCTGACTGATCCTTAGAACAGCGTGTGCCATAATAGAATATTTATACAGCTTTTCCATGATATAATTTATATGCAATGGGGTTTCAAATATTCCTAAACTTGCACAAGAGAGCATTATCAAATTTCTAAATGAATAGTACAGTTGGACTTCATTGGGAAGAATTTGGCTGGGGAAAAAAAGACATACCTTATTAGTATTATTTTACAAAATATGTACATAGCTAAAATGAATTAGCACTCATCTGGTAAAAGATTATAGCTCCTGAAATATCCTTCCTATTACAAATAGTTACAATATCTAAAAGGTCTCTTTTGAGCATAGCTTTACTTCCTCCGTAGTTTCCGTTGGAGGACATTTCTTTTATAAGATAGAATAGAAATTTATATGAATTTGTGGTTTGTACATACACATAGATTAAGAATAAATAGTGTGCAAAATAATTCTGAATTAAAATGAAAATTAGGCTGTTCTAGTTTGCAGAGTAACATCTAGCTTCAATTACACTTAATACCAAAGTTAATTTGCTATCGGGGTCCCTGAGATTGTATCTTCTGAAAGTGTCAATAATCCCTTCTAATAAGTACAGAATGAACTGTGTGAACACATTCAGTGAGGCAGGAATTCTGTTATGCCAATCACCCACACAGGCTTGATGTTTTCTCTATAGAGATTTCTCTCAGGTCAGAATTGCAAACCTTCTCATTGGTGTGAGCTATTTTCTTTTGAGGTTGTTACTATATATGCCTTGAATATCTGGAGGGAGAGAAAAGCAGAGTTTGTAACTTATAGACAGGTGACTGAGAGTGACCCAGAGGTATCTAATTGCAGAGAAAGGCAGGCATCACAAGGTACTTGTTAGGTGTCACCACACTTGTAGCAATGGGGTATGTGTTAGCAAACAAACTAAGCAGATGTCTTAGCAGAAAATGATATAAATCACATTCAATGTACATACCCAAAGAAGCTAAAAATAGCCTGCACAAACAGTATACTTGCAAAGTTAAAACTGAAGGCTTCAAAGTTAAACATTTCTGAGTTTGAGTCCTAGCCTTACCATACACTAGCTGTGTGAATTTGAGTTAATAAGATTGGTTTCCTTCTCTCTTAATTTTTAGTAATATTAGTTCAGTCCCCCGGGGACACTCTCAAAAAAGTAATACATAAAATACAGACATAGTAATTTACTAGTAAATTATTAGAAGTTACAATTAGCTGTTGTACATCTGGCAATGCTAACTTCAGCTTTAGGAATATATGAAAAATTCTAGTAAAGCTCAAGATTCCTCCAAATTGCTATTTTTCTTTATTCATTCAGAGCTCCTAAATGTTCAGATTTGGAGAGCCATTCCTTTACCTCTTTCAAGCAAGATTTTGATCAACAAGCAAAACTAAACTGTAAATTGCCTTAATATGTGTGACCTTACATTTTGAACATCTTAAATATGGTAGTGACTAAAATTTCCAGATTTAATACATGAATACTGAAGGATCATTTTATTTTCCTCAAAAAATATTTATTTGGAACTGGTGAAATGACTTAGTGGTTAAGTGCTCTGTCTGCTCTTACAGAGGACCTGGGTTTGATTTCCAGCACACACATAGCAGCTAACAACTGTCCATAACTCCAGTTCTATGGAATCTAACACCCTTTTCTGACTTCTGCAGACATTGCAGAACATGGGTGCACTTACATACATATATCATACATATAAAAATACACTCATATACATAAAAATAATAAATAAAAATATTTTTAGAAAAACATTTGTTTGAGTGTATGAGAGTTGTACTTATGCCAGAACATAACATGTGGAGGTCAGAAGACAACCTGCAGGAGTCCTTCTCTCCTTCCTCCAAGGGGATATCAGGGATTGAACTCAGGTTAGGCTTGGCATCAAGTACCTTAACCCTCTGAGCCATCTTACCATCACTGAAGGATTGTATTTGAAGGACTAAATGAGGCATTACTTTTGACTTTGAGCAAACATGCATTTTACTTTGATCAAAAATATATACTGGATATAGTTATGTGGATGTGAACATCTTTTCTTCTCAAGAAATCAGCTTATTCAGCTGTCAGGTAGGGATGCCACAATACCCAGAGTTAAAATTCAATGAGATTGCATATTGAAAGATGCTGCCAGAATGTTGAGCACATACAAAGTTATCACCAAAAGCTCCCAAAATTGTCACCATCATTTTCAAATCTTGTTAGACAACTCATTTCCTGAACTTTGGAATGTATGGCTTCTCCAGACATCATAATTTCCTTGCCCAGATTCATAAGCAATTCAAGTGACCATTCAGGGTCAGTGTGTCAGGCCCTATATTATTAGGCAGTAGTAACCAACTGATAAATGCAGCAAAGGGGAAATTCAAGGAGAGAAAAGAGCTCCCAGGGAAGATAGGAGAGTGGGAGAGAGAAAAGCATGTGAGGAATGCCAATCTCAGATTCTCTAGGAATGTAGTGGAAGCCACAGATTAACAGATGGAATAGTAACTACTTGCAGTTTCACATTTTCAGACTGCAGGGTCTACAAGAGCTCAGTGGACTGGCCTTCCCAGCCCTTGTTTACTCCCACACCACCTGCCTAATGTCTGTTCTTCACTATACTCAGGATGATTTCACCTGGTTTTGTGTTTTATTAAGTGAAACCAATTTGTTATTCTAAGAAACAGTATGTATAGGTGTTGGATGGTATTTACAACCTGACCAGGTGAACGCAAATAAAGCTATAAGTGGCCTTAATGCCAAGAAAAAATGATTAGTCCTCAGTTTTTTTTCATACTTGAGGAGTGGAGCTAGGCACATTCAGGAAAAGGAAAGAGAAAAATCCTTCCTAAAGCATAGTTTTAAGAATACAGAAAGTTTATTTTTCAGGACAATAA